ATACAGGAGACCTGCTGATGTGATGGCAAGGTATGGGGGAGGCTAAGCAGTCTGTGATCCTACGATTAAGACCCAGTCTTTTGATGAGCTTGTGTCCTTGGCCTGTGTTGTTCACAAGTGCTTCTGAGTTTCTCTTCCCCACTTCCCATCTTAGCCTGTGGACAGGAAGGACCTGTTCTTTTTCTCCACGTCACTTAGGCTTTGGTAAAACTTAAGATGGCTAGGGTCTGGTAAAAGAGTTTCCCTTGAAGGCATGCCTTGCTATGGAGAACAGGCAGGTCTGGACATATTCAAAATGGACACTCCTTCTGTCCATCTGCTGGAAGCAGATAACCATGTAGGCCTAGTTCTTATCAAAACAGAAACCAGCTAGACATCTTCTTTGGGGAGATGACCATACAAATATTTACCACATCTTAAAATTGGGTTATTTGTCTTTTTGTTGTTGAATAGTAAAGATTAGTTATATATTCCGGGTACAAGTTCCTTATGAAATAGTCCTTCCTTCATATTTTGTGATTTGCAAATACAGGGTCTGGCAGAGGTAACATCTGCTTGAGTGTGGTTGGTATGGTAATAATATGGGTGTAACAACTTATAGTTTTAACTTGAACATTTCACCTAAAGTGTCGTGTGGTGTGCTTGAGTGTGATATTGTTATGTTACAGAATTACATGTTTATGATTTCGTGATACAAAAGGGGCATTATTTGTGCCAGGCCCTGTAGTTTCTCCCATTTTATGGATTGTCTTTTAACTTTCTTGATGATGTACTTTGAATAATGAAAGGTTTTCATTTTGATGAAGTCTATCTAATTTTTGTTGCTTGTGCTTTTGAAATCATATCTAAGAAACCATTGTCTAATTCAAGGTCAAGATTTACTGCTATGTTTTCTTATAAGAGTTGCATAGTTTTAGCTCTTACATTTAGATCTGTGATACATTTGAGTTAATTCTTGTATGTGGTATGAGGTAGGGGGCTAACCCTGTTCATTTACCTGTGGATATCTAGTCCTAGCATCATTTGTTGAAAAGACTTTCCTCATTTAATTTTCTTGCCATCCTTGTAAAAAAAAAAAAAAACCAATTGACCATAAATGTAAGGGTTTATTTCTGAACTCTTAATTATTTTCCATGGTTTTATATATATATATAACTGTATTCCAATACCACATAGTCTTGATTACTTTGTAGAAGATTTAAAATTGGAAACTATGAGTGTTTTCCAACTTTGTTCTTCTTTTTCAAGATTATTTTGGCAATTCTTGGTTCCTGAAATTTCCATATGTATTTTGGTATGGTTTGGTAATTTCTGAGAAAAAGAAAAGCAGCCAGGATTTTGATAGGGATCATGTTGAATTTGTAAATCAATTTGGGGGGGCATTCTCATCTTAACAGTAGTCTTTTAATCCATAAGCATGTGATATCTTTACATTTATCTAGGCATTTCAAAATTTCTCTTTATAATGTTGAGTACTTTTTACTACATAAATATTATATCTTTTTTCCAAGTCCATGACATTTCCATTTTATTACAGGTTTAGGTCACGCTAGTTCAAATGTATTTCTCTATACATAATCCAACATAGCTCATTTGGAACTATTTAAGTTACATATGTGACTTTACCAAGGACTTTGAATATAAAAGAAACATGAAATTTCAAATTGTAACTTGCAGGTAAAAGGGATAAGAAATAAAATAATGAGATGATGGTTGAGGTTGTTCATTTCTTACAAGAAGACACTTTGTTGAAATATTTCTCCTGGTACAACAGTTATAAATTAGAACCTTAAAAAAAAAAACAAGGGCAAAACTAAAGTACAATAAAAGAAGCTTTTGCAGTTTAAGTCTCCCATAGTCCTAAGCCTCTGACATAAGCAAGGTTACACATTTTTTTTTCCTGAGAATTAAGTGGTGAAACTGGAAGAGGCAGCATTTGTGCTGCCTGTCACTACCAGAACCAGTAAGTAGAGACAAGGATTGAATCTTTTTTTAAAAATTTTATTTATTTATTTACTTTAGAGGGGACGAGAGAGGGAGAGAAATATCAATGTATGGTTGCCTCTAGTGCATCCTCTGCTGGGAACTGGCCTGCAGGGAACTGGCTTGCAACCCAGGAATGTGCCCTGACTGGGAATTGAACCACGATCCTCTGGTTAGGATTGAATCTTTATAGGTGCTTTATTTAGATGCTGGTGATCTAAGAGGATGGCGAGTATGTACTCTAAAAAACTGTCTTAACATCTCATCTTAAGCCAACCTTTTTACAAGGAGAAGAAAGGGTAGGTAAGGGGTTTGGAAAAAAGTTTAATTGGATAGGAGTTGTAGTCCTGCTGGTAATATCTGTTTATCTGCATCACTAGGCATTCCCTCCCTGGAACACAATGGCTCAAATACCATCTCCATTGCTCACAGACCTCCTTCGGCACAAAGGTTGAATTATTTGTTGAACTCCTGGAATCACTGGTCATAAATATCAATTCCTGGGATAACAGCTTTCTACATGCATTAATCATTTAGCCTATCAACTATGACTGAAACTAAAATCTTTAACTCTTGAGTTCCCCAATTAGTTTTCTAGTATTTCCATGCAGTCCATCATTAATATATACACTACCTTAGCACTGGTTGCATTAACTCTGCCTGAAGAATTTAATACCCACCCAAGTCCAAAGGTGGAACAACACATATACAGTTATGGTAATGGGCTAGAGCAGACTGTAAAAGCACAGCCTGGCTGTGCTAGTGCAGCCCTGTGGTAAATTTTCTCCCACAGTGGCTGAGTAAAGAGACCATGGAATAAGGACAGTCAAGGTAGGAAGGGACAGAAACATCCTTCTCCCCCACTTCTTACCTGACATCCTGACTTTTAAAAAGGTAGATGGTGTTAAGAAAATTCAGTCGTGTTTGTTGTTGTTAATTATGGCTTAGTGCTGCTTCATATTTTCTTCCTTCATATTTTGTTGTGTCATCCTAGATGCCTGGAGGTATCATATTAGGAATTACATCAATAATTAGAGAGACTGTTCTCAACTCTCATTGTTAGGTAGAAGTTTAGAAGGAGGAGGGGTGGAAGGGGATCCAGAGATCCCCTTGCAGAATACTTGCAGAAAAAGGTCATAAATAACTTTGATTATCTGCCAGTATCTGTTTTTAACAGGATAACATGAAGCAGTCTGGAGCAAGATAAAAATCTGAGTTAACAGAACTCCACCCATGCTTTTGCTTAGGTGCCCTCCCTTGGAAGATAATGTTTCACTTTCTCCCACCAAATCCATGTGTAATTCTCTTACCCTACCCCACAAATTATATAAGTTCTCAGGACCAAGAGACCTAATGCCTATGCTTTCTCACCCACCTCAGCTAGACCGTTCTCTTCCATGAGAAGGTATCACTAATAAGCTTTACTTACTACCTAACAGGCTTGCTGATCTGTAATTCTTTACTGCATCTATAAGAAGAACCAAGCCTCCCACACCATTATTTAATCAATTGATTTGTCAGTCTGAGTAGTTTCTTGGAGAGTGGGCACTCAAAGAACTCTAGCAGCTCCAGGTACGACATGGTGCAATTCCCTGACCTTCTAGCTCTTGTCAGCCGACTTGCCCCAACACCCCACACATGCAGGCACCTGTGGGCTACCGTGGATGGTAGTGTGTGTGTCCTATGCAGCTCTGGGGGTTCCCACTGCATGCTGCACTCAGCATGATCTGGCAGCCTGTGACTGCCCCTCACTGCCCTTTGCCAAGCCAAGCCGCTCAAGCTCACCAGAGCACCTCTATCCTGGCAGCCAGGCCCCCTCCCCTGCTAAATTTTGTATTTTTTGTTAAATTTATTCCTCAGCATTTCATCCTTGTTGCTATTACTGTACATAGATTTTTGTTGACTTCTTTTTTAGATTGTTCCCTGCTGCATGTAAATAGTTTGTTTTTGTATAAAATTAATTTTTGGAAATTGATCTTATATCTTGTAACCTTGATGAATTAATTTGTTAGTTCTAATAGCTTTTTTTTTCTGGGTAGATTCCTTAGGATTTTCTATACACAAGAGCATGTCATCTACAAATAGACAGTTTTACTTCTTCCTTTTATTTTAAAATTTTAAAGGTTTTATTTATTTTTTAGACAGAAAGAGAGAGAAACATCAGTTTTTGGTTGCCTCTTGCAGACCCTCTGTTAGGGACATGGCCTGCAACCTAGGTATTGGCCCTAACTGGGAACTGAACTGGCAATGCTTTGGTTCACAGGCCCATGCTCAATCCAGTGAGCTATACCAGCCAGGGCTACTTCTTCCTTTTAAATACAACCATCCTTTCTTCTTCTTGTCTAATTGCCCTGGTGGAACCTCAATACAATGTGGAATGAAGTAGCAAGAACGGACATTCTGGTCCTGTTCTTGATTTTAGAGAGAAAGCATACAATCTTTTAATATTAAGTATGATGCTGGCTGTGGGCTTTATTATGCATGCCCCTCATTATGTTGAGAAATTCCCTTTATTCTTAGTTTATTGATTGTTTTTATGAGCAAAAGGTGTCAGATTTTGCCAAATTGCTTTTGTGCGTCTACTGAGATAATCATGTGCTTTTGTTTTCTAGTCTATTGATATGCTATGGTGTATTATTGTGTAAACTTGATTTTTGAATGGTAAGTGAAGAGGTATTCCTAGGATAAATCCACTTGGTCACAGTATGTAATTCTTTTTCTATGTTGTTGGATAGAGTTTGCTAGTATTTTGCTGAGTAATTTTGCATTAGGAAGAGTGATCTATATTTTTCTTTCCTTGTTAATTTTTTTTGGCTTTAGTATCAGAGTAAGTCTGGCTTCATAGAATGAGTTGGAAAGTGCTGTTTTTAATTCATAGATCTATTTATCAGTTAGATTAAATGAAAACAATCAATTTGTCATAGGCATCTGTATTATGAAATAAGTATCACATACATAAGTGACATTCAACAGTTTTATTGAAATACATCAAACTGAAACTAATTGAAGCCTTAAAAAGATGAGAATTCACAAAATTACTAAGCTTTTCATGCAACACAATTACTATGAATCTCAATTACTATAGATAATATTGATAGAAACAAATTTTTGATAAATTGATAATTTTAACAAATTGGATTTGGGTGTTCAAAAGCAAATGTTTTCAAAGTTGATAAATTTGGAAAACTTGGTGAGTTGACGTTTACATAACTTGATCATTGGATGCAGTGTCTTCAGTAAATAGATATTCAACTAATTGCCTAATTTCTGGATGCACATAAGGGTCAAGACGGTAGAAAATTGAGGAGACTATGTCTACAGAGTATACACTTTTTGAGGGGCGAGGGGGGTGTGCTGATAGTAAGAGGTGAAGATCTAAAGAGTTTAAGGGAAGTTTGAGAAAGTTAGCTGGAGTCAAAGAGATGACAGGCTTGAGCAATCCAGGCTTACTGAATTTTGTTCAGGGCCCAGCTCTGCTGATTTCCATTCTATTGGCTTTGTGATATATATATATATATATATTTGTTCATAGGTGCCCTCTCATTGATGAGGACACAGGAATAGGGAAATCTGATGATTTGTGAGTGGGTGGGAAAGACATGGGGTTGAATAGGGGTTGCCATGAGAATGGATGAAATGTTGGATCATAGGTTGAAAGGAAGAAAGACCTGATACACAGAGAAAGAAGAGTTCAAAAGACTGGAGTTATAAGAGTTTGAAAGTTTGATATGTGTGCAAGGGAATAAGAGAGCCAGAGGCAAGAAAGTGGGTTTATAGACCGAAATTCTGGAGGATAAAATTTCATGGGTAAAGCAAATCTGCTCATGAAAGGGTTAAAAACCTGGTAAACAGAGTGGGCTAAATGGATGGGTTTCAGGAGGAGAGAAAAATGAGGAACTATGGGACCACAGTCTTGAATGGGGCATGCATTTGGATAAGGTAAGCACATGAATGGGATGGTAGCAGATCTTGGGATGGTGAACAAGACTCTGGTCCTAAGACTTCACTAAATATGTAGCCAGAAGCTATCTTTCCCCACCTCCACCCCCAATTAGCCCATCATGAATCACCCAGCATGTTATAAAAAACAGGGCAGCTGGTTCTCAGTTGTAAGACTCCTACAGAGAGGACTTTGACTTCTCAGTACTTGCTTCTATCTCTGTAGCCCCATGTTGACTTCTCAGTTGTACTTTGAATGAATGGTATTTTAGCTCATCCTTTTAGGTCTCTCATTGACTGAATTTAATGATTCATTTTTTGACCAGCTCAGGGGTGTTTTCCCCTCAAAGGTATATGGCCTTGAACTGCAAACCTGCCAACTTACTTCCTGTGGGTTGGGCCAGCAGGGGTCTAGGCCTTAGTAGCTAAAGCCAAGAACATCAGGAGAAGGTGGTGAAACTAATGTCAATTCTCAAGAGAAGGGGTTTACTTAGAGGTGGAGGAGGCATGGAAACCACAATGGGGAATGAGAAAGCTCTCCTCCCTCCACCCTTTGCCTTCAACCTATGATTTTGGACTTTTCTTTCAACCTATAGTGTCTGTCTGTGTGACTAAGGACTGGCAGAAATACTCACTACAAAATTGTAATAGTGTCTGGCAGAAATACTCACTACAAAATTGTAATAGTGTCTTCATGCTGCTATAATAACAGATCACAGAATAGGTAGCTTAGAAATAACAAAAGTGTATTTCTTATGGTTCTGGAGACTGGGAAGTCCAAGATTAAGGTGCCAGCAAGGCCGGATTCTGGTGAGGGCCATAGTCCTTGTTCATAGAAGGTGTCTTCTCACAGTGTCCCTAATTAGTGGATGGGGCAAGAGATCTGTATGGGATCTCTTTTATAAGAACACTAATCCTGTTCATGAGAACTCTACCCAAAGGCTCACCTCCTAACACCACCACATCAAATCCTAATGGATTTCAACATATGAATTTAGTTGGAGGGAAGGCACAAACATAAATGTTTTCCTCTCAGGGTGCTGCATATCTCTGGCCTGTCTTCTCTTTTCATTGCCACTTAACTTGAGTTGTTTTATGGTCTTTTGACCCTCTCAAGACACTGCTCTGTCAGAGGTCAATAGTGAACACCCGAATAATTCCCAAGTCCAGTGGCCAAAGATACTCATTAAACCACTGCTCTGGAGCCTGGCCAGCATTAGGTTCTGACAATATAAAAATTATCTAGGGTCTGCTCCTAAGAATTCACAATCTGCTGAGGGAGATACACACAAATAGATATTTTTGACATTCTCCTCCCCTAGATTTTGAGACACCAATGTTCTAGTTGTAGTTCTTCTTTTCCTGTCCTAGGAAGGCTTTCTCTCTGTCTGGTCTTTGAATGTTGGCTCTATCCTAGGCCTTATTTTTCTCATACTCTGTATTTTGTTGTTGTTGTTGGAAATCTTATCTAGTCCAATTGCTTCTATTCTCAAGTATGTGTGTGACTCTCACATCTGTATTGCTAGCTTACATATAGCCTCTAAGCTCACACAACTGTAACGTATATTCCCTGTTCACAAGATAGGTCTTTGCCACGAATAGTATGTTTTCAACAAAGTTCATCATAGTAATTTCAGATCTGCTTCTCCTCTGCTATTCTGTTAATGGAAGGATTCTTTATGAATGGAATTACTTCATTTAAGCACAAACCTGGTGTCATCCTTGACTCAACTTCTTCATCTACCTCATCTAACCACATCTATTCTATTCTATGTCACATCTATACAATAGTCTATTCTGTTTCCTCTAGTGCTGTCTGATCTGTCAGCTTGTACCTACCCTGCCTCCGGCCTACTCTTCAATCAACTTTCCCTGAATTCCTAAACTAGGCTCCTGTTTGGTATCTTTACCTGTAGTCTCCCCTCTAACCCACCCACCTTCCAGTCTGATGTAAGAATAATCTTTCTGAAATGTAAATCTGATCCCTTTTCTCTCCATTTGAAAATCCTTCAGTGGCTTCCCCTGGTCTTCAGGATAAGATCCAAGCATTTTATCATGTCTCACAGGCCCCTTTGTAACCCGATCTTGCTTGGCTTTCTTGCTTCATTTCCTCTTTTTCCTCAAATACTAAATCCTGGCTGTTCCAACTTACTTGGACTTTCTCAACCACTACATATTGCTTCATAATTCAGTGCTCTTATACTTGCAGCTATTAGTGCCTGGGATGCCCTCACAGCCGACTTCTCTTCTCCCATGTTGGTAACTACTTTCTTCAAGATTCAGCTGTAGCATTGCTTCCTCTGAAGTTCTTCGTTGACCTCCTCCTTTCTTAGTACTCCAGACAGCTTTGTGTGTATCACTCTCATACTACCTGTCTACAGTGTTGTATTTGTTTATTCTGTCTTTCCAATTGGCCTGTTAGGTCTTTGAAAAGTCATCCCTGTATTCTCTATCCTAGCAAAGTGCTTTGAATGGGAAAGGAATATACTTGCTGAATATATTTGATTATTTTTTGAGGGCCTTCTGTGCACAAGGAAGACACTGCACTGGGTACCGTGATGAATTCTGCAGGTTCTCTTTCCTCTTAGAAGGCAATTTCTCAGTCTCCTTCCTAGATTCTAACGTCTAACCTCAGCCTCCTTTCCTTGGGAGTCACCTCATCCATTTCCTTAGCTTTTATTGCTGACAAATCTGTTCTCCCAGTAAAGAACTCTTTCCCAAGCTCCAGATGCTCCCAGGCATCTCAAACTCAGCACATACAAAACTGAATTATTTTACCTTTCACTTATCCTTCTGGGATAAAAAGATAACTGCAGGAAAGTTTCTGAGACAATTTTAAGGAAAAACAATTAGAAATTATGCCAGGACAATGACATTAATTCCACGACATTCCTAGGTACAGCCTTTGTATTTTCTTTTCATTGGCTTGAAGTGAACAGGTGTAAAACCTTAACACTGTGCTCCCAGTGCTGGGCCACAGGGTGGGGTGCCAAGGTATATGTGAAGCCACAGTGTTAACAAGGCTCATTTTCCTAGAGCATTAATTATGACAGAAGTTCATATGTGTATGTAATGTACAATATTTAAGTACTAAGAACTGAAAAAATGATTTTTATATTGTGGAACATAATGTAAAATGCCAGAGAAGTTTAAACCCCTTTCCTCAAAATATAGGCACACAGATCATTTCTATTATTAGAGAATCTCAAGTATATTGGAGTCAGCGACATGAGTTACAATATGCCCATGTGTTTAAAGAGGAAAGCAAGCCTTCAAGGGTACAGTCATTCAGTAGTGAACAATGGGAAATCAGCATCGCAGGAAGTTCTTTTTCAGATGAAGAGGAAACTGGGGAAGGGAGGAGTTAGTGAGCTTTGCATACCAAGCTAGGCTGAAGTAGTTTGTTCAATGCATTGATACAGTCAATATTTTTAGATGCTTATTTTGTCCCGTTCTCTACTGGATGGCACAAAAGTAGATACTTTGCCTAACCTCAAGGAGTTCGCTATCTAGTGAAGGGTGTACAGTGTGAAGTTGGGCCGCTGGAAAAGGGCCTAGCTTTGTTTAGGGAATTCAGTGAATACTTCATGAAAGACACATTGCTTTAGCTTTTGGCTAAGTCTTGGAAAATGTATGGGTATTTTCTATCTGTAGACTGGTGAGAAAGATTTCAGGGTGAGAAAGATTTCAGGGAACAGGAATATGAAATGTGTGGGAAATGAATTAGAATCATGCTTACATTTTTGACAGTCGTTATGAGCACTTAAGTCCCTGGAGAGGAAGAAACCCATTTCCTTAGCTTTGGTATACCCAGCAGTGTAGCTTAGCACTGTCCCCGCACACAATACTGTGTTTGTTGTTTTGTAAAGCTGTCAGAGTGCCGAATATGTCATGGGTAACATGTAGCTTACTCCTCTGCCTTTAATAAATTTATATTGAACACCATTATGAACCTGCTCCTTTGGCAGGAACAAAGTTATCCAGAAGAATGAGTTTCAGCTTCTAGTTTCAGGAGCTCAGGTGGTTGAGTGAAGGAAATCAGTCAAGCAGACTGGTATTTGTGATATGGTATGATGAAAGCTTTAGTAGGTGTAAGCCCTGAGGACTATACCTGCACACTGGAAGGGACCTAGCCCCATTTAGAGGGTAAAGTGAAATTTGGAGGCCTCAAGCCACTTCTGGGCAGAGGTATGACAAGTAGGAGGTAAATTAAAAAACACCAAGCATTAAAGGCAGTATTGTGCACAAAAGTATGTGTTCAGAAAGTAACAAGTAGCTTTCTATGAAGAATGGAGGCAGGTAACAGTAGACAAGATGAGAGGTAGCTGCATCTGGGACACAGGAAGCCTGTGTCATGACACAAGCTTGGATTTTATCCCAAAGGCAACAGTGAGTTACTATGATGCTGGTTGAGATCAGGGTTTTTTTCAGGAAAGGTTGAAATCCACTAGTGAGCTGTAAAATTAATTTAGTAAATTGAGACCAGTATTTTTTATTTTTAAAGAGCCCTTTTCTTTAAAAAAAAATTATTTTTAGAGACAGAAAAAGAGAGAGAGGGAGAAACATTGACATGTGAGAGAAACATCAACAGGTTGCCTCTTACATGTCCCCAACAGAAGACCTGGTCTGCAACCCAGGTATGTGCCCTGCCAGGGAATTGAACCAGCAACCTTTTGCTTTGCAGGATGCCCAACCCACTGAGCCATGCCAGTCAGGGCAGGGCCGGTATTTTTTTAAAAAGTAACTAGAAGAGTATAAATATTAGTGTGCATATTTATAAAAGTAAACATTTTATGATGCTTTTCAGTTATAATGTGATTATTATTCTGAGGTAAAATGTTTTTTATCTGTAGATCATGGTAACATTTTTCTGAGAAACACTAAAGATTCAACAGAAATTAGTTTAGGCCTTTCCTCTCCTGGATCAATAACAAGGGGACAGAAATACTGATTGCTTTATAGTACCGGTAATCTGGGAGGGATGTTTGGGAACCAGCCCACTGTTGGTAAACTGTAATACAATGTAGTGAATTCAGAGGATCATTTAAACATTGTAGTGCACCTAGGATCATGAAGTAATGAACTTAGGTGTGTGGATGGTCAGAAGAGACACCCAGGAGATGCCATGTTTGTGCAAAAGGTAGGTAGGTAAAAATGGGAGGAGGGTTTTCTGAGTAGTAGAGACTGCATCAACCAAAAGTGGTAAGGGGAGCTGTACATAGGGAAACAGTCAAAATGAGGACTTCCATGCTTCTGGAGTATAAAATTAGAGGCAAGGGAAGTAGCTGCAACAGTAGGTGGATGCTTGGTCACTGAGGGAGTCATAAGGAATCCTGACTCCTTTCCTACAGGAAAAAAGCCACAGATTATCAAGCCTGGAATTAAGATATCAGAGTTCTACTGCTCTGGCTGCAGTGTGGAGGGAGGCAAATTACATTAATCCAGGATAGAGATGTCATCGATTTCAGACTAGGGAGAGATGTGACTGCAGATTTCAGAAACATTGTGGAAATAAACATGACCTGTTAATCTGACTATTAATGGGTGCAAGAAATAGTCCCTGGCTTTTGTAGTTGTTCTCTCGGAACAATGGGTTTATAATGTGTCACTGATCTGTTGAGGCTAGAATTCATTATTTTTTGAAGTAGGCGCAACCTTGCAGTGAAAAACTGGATCCCGAGACCCTCTGAAAGTGGAGAGAATTCTCATGCATGTGGGCATCTCTTGTGGGGTTGAAATTTGTTAAAGAGGTGCCTAGATGGACTTAAGGGCATATTCCAACAATTGGGATGAAAAGTTATTATTTGCAGAATAGGTCAGCAAAGCTGATAGTACAGGGACCAGCACAAATAATGCCCCCTCTTTATTATAAAATCATAAGCATTTAATTCTGTAACAATATCACATTGAAGCACACCATGATACTTCAGGTGAAATACTCAAATTAAAACTATAAATTACTACACCTGTATTACTTACTACTACCATCCACACTCAGGCAGGCCTTACTTCTGCTGGACCCTGTGTTATTTTCCCAGTGTTGTCCCTGAGCCTTTGGTAAATGTTCTAGGGTTTATGTACTTACTTGGGCCAAAATATTAAAGAGGATGAAGTTGTCCTTTGAGGCCACTGTGGCATCAGTGGTGGGCCATTAGACTGAACTCCTTGGAGAGTTGTTTTTCTCTGTACCCCTAGTGTTTAGCTCAGAGCCTGACATATGGCAAACACTTGATAAAGACTGTCCCTAGTGCCTAAACTGACGGTGCGTACTAGCAGATGTTAAATAAACACTTAAGAAACTGCTGAAAGCTCCAAAGGGGGATATATTTCTGGGGCTAAGAGGAAAAGCTATGATTAGAGTCAGCCATAATCCACCTGCTACCAATAATACAAAGATACGGTTTTAAGATTAAGAACTTTCTCTATGAGTCAAGAATGGGTCTGAGTTATCTAGCTGAGATGAATGTTCATGCCAAAAAGATGGAATGGGTTGAATTTTGGGGCAGAAGCATTCAGTTACAGGTTTAATTAATAAATGCTCTGAGTGTTTAGTGTATCACTCAAACGTCAAGTTCTCTGATAAGAATGTGTGGACAAACTGGAGCACAGGGAGAGATGGAGAACCTTATTGGTTGTAGGTTAAGTGTCAGTAGAGAAGGTGCCATTAAATACCACCAGAATAGCTGTCACTTAAGTTATCTGCTAGAACAGTGACCTCTTTACCTTTACCCAATGTTATTTCAGACAATGGATGGGTTCAGGCCCAATACACTCTGAAGGTCCAGCCTAAAATGTCTTCTTCCAACTGTATTTGGGATAAGGGCCCTGCTATCAAGTGATTAGGCCTGAGTGATAGCACCAAGTCTTCCGGTAACTACCACCCTAGTTAAGCCTCTGAGCCTTGAGTGATAGGCAGCCTGCCTGGGCCAAGTTTTGCTTCACAGTAATTAATGGATACAAAGGAACTTCCTACTTCTCATATGCTCTGGCCATTCTTAAGCCGGATTTCCCTTTTTTAAGTTCCCAGAGAGGCCCAGATTTGACAACAATAAAAATTTTCCAGGAAATTCCCAGAAGGTTTAACTTCCTAATCCACCTCCCACTTCAAACCTGTCCTTCACTCCACTCTCCACTTTTGCCCCCCTCCCACCACAAGAGGAAGGAGGTTATCCTAGAGTCCAATATCCTTGGTTGAATGCTTGCACTCCTTTGACCAGGACAGTAGTACATCTGAGTCCTCAGGTCTTCTCCTTTGAGGCCCATTCAGGGCTTGAGGGGAGCACATGAGGGTAATATGTGATCCTGCCTAGCAACAGAGGTGGTAGTGTTCCTTGAAGGTTCTTAGGGTACCAGATTCCACAGAAGTTTCACTTCTAGATGTTCATTCTCCAATCCCTGTAAGGAAGCACCATATTTTGCCATGTCTAATGTGCACTTTCTTTGCCCAAATTTTTTAGGGAAAAATAAGGATGCACATTATACATGGGTAGTACTAATTCAACATTTATATAAATATTTTTAATATTTAAGTTTATGCTTATGTGTTAAAAGTATAACTCTAGAAAGCAATAATGATATCCATATGCAAAATAATACCCTGGAATACAATAATTGGTTTTGTTTTTAAATATAAATAAATTAAAAAGTGAATTAAAAAATTAAAACAAGTTTTCTTTCCTGAAAGTTTGGTCCCAAAACCTGGGTGTACACTATACATGGGAGTGCATCATACATGGCAAAATATGGTAATTTTTCTCTTAAGAAATCCCAGGGGCTCCTCTATGTAAGATGTCATAACTCAATCAATCACATTAGAGGCCAGTTTGGAATTTTAGTGTACATGCCCCATATAAACCAACATTAAGAAAAACAAAACTGTGCTAACCAAATAAAACCCAGATTTATGAGCTAGAAACACATGCCATGAATTTACTATCCCATGGAGAATGATCATTTATATAGTTCTCATTCTCAGAAAGCTCAAGGGGAGGGGGAAAATCTGTTTACATATATTCATATAAGGAGTTTTGTCTATTGTGCAGAGAGAATTATCTGGCTACTCAGCAGTTCTGAGCTCCATTAAAACTGTCCATTTCACAGCTATAGCTCCAGTTCTTCTTAAAGATTAAGAAGTCCAAACACCTATGATAACGGGCAATTATAAGGGCTACACACCCTTTGGCTCCAGTTAAATCCCTGGTTTTTGAGATGTGTGGGAGCTGTGGATACTTGCTTCCTGGTCCTGCCGCAGCCCCAGAAGTAGCTGGTTTAGGAGTGTAAGATTGCTGTCTCTGCGAGGCAGGGGCAGGGGTGGGAGGCAGTTTCCTTTATATTCGATCACTGCCATCTTGGCCCGATCCTGCTTATTCCGATTAGGGATCTGTAGCATTCTCGTGTAGCCCCCATTCTGACCTTGGTACCGAGGGGCCAGTACTTGAAACAGCTTTGGGATCAAGTCTTTCTCCTAGAGGGGTAGAGTTATACAGAAGAGAGCAGAGTCAGGCACCACAGCAAAGACATTTAGCTTTTAGCTTTCCCAAATGTAGAGTCTCCAAATACATACTCAGACTTCCCCCACCATCTAATGTGGTAGAGTCTAAGTTAAATAGAGAGTTCAGATGTGCAAGTTCGGATTCGCATCGAATTCAACATACTTAAGGCGCACATTTCTAATTTAGTTTACAGAATTTGCCTATACGTGAGTACCTTACCTTAGTTCTTCCCAGTCCCCCTTTCTGTGACAACCCCTCCCACTCATGGACCGAAGGATGAGATCTGGTGGCAGGCAGGATGCACTTACTGTGAGCCAGAAGTCAGCCATGCGCATGGCTCGTTCGTTGGTGTCTCCCAGCTTCCCATAGTCGATAAGCTGCGAAGACAGAACATCACTGATCCAACCCGAGCAGGAAACACGGCACCAATCTTACTCCTCTAATTCCACTAGCCAAGGTTTCCTCAAATTCAGGCCACCCCTAACCTCGCACGCAGCGCTAATCGGTCTTCCACTAGAGGGGCCGGTGGAGTGGGCTCAGCTCAAGATTAGGGAGGATTCAGACTTCGGGTAGGGCTCACCAGAGCGCTTTTATTCTTTCCCCCAAAATCAGCCAGGCCCCGCCCCCTCAGGCCAGACCCGCCGGACCAGAGCGTCCAACCTCTGACCTTCTCAGCGTAGCCCCTCATCTCGTCCACACGCGCCCAAGACGCCTCGATGCGTTCGTGTCGCACTAGTCCCGTAAGCAAGTTCCGTAACAGGTGGATGCGGGACTCGGGACCAAGGCCCAGGCGACGGAATACGCGGCCATGTGAGATAGCCGCAGCGACCGAGAGGCGCATTTCTCTCTGCTCTCTGGAAGAAGCCGGAACTAAAAATTCAAGGGTAAACTGCGGAGAGTCGTATTTGAGACGACGCATGCGCTATAGCTTCGTGCGTTGTGGACGTGTTTGCGCATGGGTATTAGAGCCTGCCTCGTTGGCAACCAGGGGGTGGGTGGAGAAGGGGTGTTGACCTCTTCCAAAGAAGGCGAGCCCGAGTCGACAGCAGTTGCCGGGCGCTCTCTTGTTAGCTGGGGAACAAACGCCCCCTAGTGAGGGATGATCGGGCCCTCGGAGTTCTCTGGTGCTGCCTCGGGCTCCAGTGTACGTTGTCGAGCGATCGGAAGCACCGCCGCGGGTCCTGCTGGGAAAGCGAGTACCTGAGGGGAAAGGCGTCTGGAGGGGGCGCGCTCGAGTAGACTGGCTGCCTGGCTCCTCCCTGGACATTGGTGAGCACGATATCCCGAGGGCGTCTTTTTTGACAAAATTATTTTTAGTCGTAATGGTGAAATGAAATGAATAGCAGTTATATTCAGTTAAGAGGCAGGTGGTGAAAATCTTGTTGCGGTAAATACATCTAATTATCCTAGTTACACAAAAATACAGCCCTCAAAGCGAAAATAATAGATTAATATTTTTAAATTACATCGATGTATTTTTACAAGGAGAAGATATACCTACGCATTTATGTGTTAAAGAAACATACAGTAACATGATAGTTTCTGCTTTGGAACCTTCACGTCTGCGTTAATAATGTCAAAATTGTTCTCTGGTACTGGTTGAAGTGTATGTAGTTCCCATCACATTCTGCATAGTATATGTTAGGTCCTAACCCCCCACTCCCAAGCTCCTCTGCCTCCCTTCCAGTGTCTCAGAGTATGGCCTCATTTGGAAGTATGGTCATTGCAGATGCAGTTAGTTAAGGTGAGGTGGTACTGGACTAGGGCGGGCATCTAATCCAAATGACAGATGTCCTTACAAAAAGAACTGAGGTGCAGACACAGAGGGGGACACACCAAGTGAAGACAGCCTTATGAATATGGGCACACACTGGGAGAACCTGTGTGACCAGGAAGGCAGAGATCTGAGGCAGTTGCAAACCAAGGATAAAGGATTTTTGGCAAACACTGGAGCCTAAGAGAAAGGCATGGACAGATTTTTCACTAGGTCCTTCAAAGAATGTATGACTCAGCCAGCACAATGGAGCTATGAGAAAATATATTTTATTTGTATTATGCTGCCCAGTTTGTGGCAGTTTTTTACAGAAGCACTAGGGAAGTAATGCACTTATCTTCACATATTCATGTTCAATATACAGCATACTTAGAATTTGTCACTCTGTCTTCACTCATAGCTGACCAGAGAACACTGCTTGTTCATTTTAATTTTGAAAAGCTTCTTTTGTTTGAAGCACTAATAATTAGGAAAAATCTTAAACATGGATATGTTAGGAGAGATTTATATAAATCACACTTCATAATAAATTCCAGAAATTACAGTACTGTGTTTGGTTTCTTTGGGGTCAAATCTTACAGCTTTCAATGATCTCCACAATTGAAAATTCACCATAAATTTCTATTAGTAAACATTTCTGGGATTTCCAGTCAAGATGGCAGCATAGGCAGCCATGGTTCGCCTCTTGGTACAACCACATCTAAATGACAACTAAAATATAGAGCAACCATTGCTTAGAAACATCAGAAATCAAGTTGAATGGAGGTCTGATAACTATGGAATTAAAGAAACTACGTCCATCCAGATTGGTAGGAGGGGCACAGATGCAGAACAGGCTGCTGATCTCTTACCCACACACATATGGTGGATAAAAATTTGGGAGGGATTTGTCGGGAGGGAGGACTCCCAGCCCCACACCAGGCCCCCCAGCCTAAGGTTCCAGTGCTAGGAAGATAAGTGTAAACAGCTTCTGGTTGCAAAAACCGACAGGATTGAGTTGGTGGAAGAGATTTCTGGAGCCCCGAGAAGTTCTTCTTAGAGAACCCACACATAGACTCACGTTCTCAGATTCACTCCCTCTGAGCTCCAGCACTGGGAGAGTAGCTTGAAAAGCACCAGTGGCACACAGGGAGGAGCTGAAGTGTCTGGCATCAAGGTGAGCAGCGGCTATTGTCCCTTTTCTAAACCCTTTCCTAACAGAGCTGGCAAACTGGTGCCATATCTGAGACTCCATCAACCTGGCTGACGCTATTTAGTTAGCCTTGGAGATCCCCAGAGACTCCACCCCACCCAAATTATGGGCCCACCCAAGCTGCTTTTCCATATGAATACCTGGCCTAGGCTTGTGTTTCACTACTTCCTAAATCCTGTCAAACAAGCAATAGCTGGCCTTAGCAAGCCCCAGGAACAGCACTAGAAACAGCCAGCCTAGATTCACATCTGGCTTCACCTGGGAATCTCCAAGCCCAGCACAAGTAGCAGTTATCTCAGATGCGTTATAGCTCAGGCATGGTGGCCCAGACAAAACATAGGTGGGGGCTGACCTTGGCCTATACCACCCAGGAAACCCCAGGCCTAGTGCACCCCGTAGACAGCTACAGAGCACATCAGATCATTATCACCCTACCCTTATACAGCTGATCCTGGATGGAGGCTGCATGTTGGTAGTCACTGCTCACAGCCAATCCTTGCAGGTGACTGGCCTGGGTAAATCCCTCCCATTGATCTGCAAACAGCAACCAAGGCTCAACCACAGGAGGATGGTATTCTTAGCCCACACAAAGGGTACACCTTGATAGAGGAGGCTGTGCCACTGGACCCTACAGGACACCTACTAAATTAGGCCACACTACCAAGACATGGAGTTAAAGCAGCTCTACCTAATACATAGAAACAAACAGGAAGGCCACCAAAAAGAGGAGACGAAGAAATATGGCCCAAATGAAAGAACAAGGAAACGTAGCCAAATGGCCCAAGGCTCCAGAAAAAGAGCTAAATGAAATGGAGAGAAGCAATCTTTCAGATGCAGAGTTCAAAACATTGGTTATAAGGATGCTCAAGGAACTTAGTGAGGACCTCAACAGCATAAAAAAAGATCCAGTCAGAAACAAAGGATACACTAAGGAGATAAAGAAAATTTACAGGGAAACAACAGTAGAGTGGTTGAAGCCAAAAATCAAATCAATGATTTGGAACATAAGCAAAAAACAACCAATGAGTACAAAAAGAAAAAAGAATCCAAAAAATGAGTATAGTATAAGCAGTCTCTGGGACAACTTTATTTGTATCATAGGGCTGCCAGGAGAAAAGGAAGCAAGAAATTGGAAATGTATTTGAAGAAGTAACGAAATAAAATTTCCCTAATTTGGTGAAGGAAATAGACATCCAAGTCCAGGAAGCACAGAGAGTCCCAAACAAGATGGATGCAAAGAGGCCCACTCCAAGACACGTCATAATTAAAATGCCAAAAGTTAAAGACAAAGAATCTTAAAAGCAGCAAGAGAAAAGAAGTTAGTTACTTACAGGGGAGTTCCTATAAGACTATCAGTTGATTTCTGAAAATAAACTTTGCAGGCTAGAAGGAACTGGCAAGGAATATTCAAAGTCATGAAAAAGTCTTGGCTGGGACTCACAGCCAAGATTGATCTACCCAGCAAAGCTATTATTTAGAATCGAAGGGCAGAGAAACAGCTTCCCAGCCAAGGAAAATACTAAAGGAATTCATCATCACCAAACCATTATTATATGAAATGTTAAAGGGACTTATTTAAGAAAAAGAAGATCAAAACTATGAACATTAAAGTGGCATAAATACATATCTATCAACAATTGAATCTAAAAAAACTAACTAAGCTACCCAGAATAACAGAGACAAAATCATGGTTACTGAGAGTGTTTTGATGGTTGCCAGATGTGAGAGGGGTGTGGGGAAATGGGTAAAGAGGTGAGGGGATTAAGAAATGCAAATAGGTAGTTACAGAGTAGCCATGGGGATGTAAAGTATAGTATAGGAAATGGAGTAGCCAAAGAACTTATGTGCATGACCCATGGACATGAACAATGGTGGGAGAATTGCCTGAAGGAGTTGGGAGGTGCTGGGTGGAGGGAGCCAAAGGGAGAAAAATGAGGACAACTGTCATAGCATAGTCAATAAAATATAATTAAAAACATTTCTGAAGATCCTTTGCAAAAGTTGGGGAATATTAACATTACCACTGAATTATTGGAGCCATTGTTTTAGAGCAGGGGTGTCAAACTCATTTTCACCAGGGGTCATGTTATCCTTGCAGTTGCCTTCAAATGGTTGAATGTAATTGTAGGACTGTATAAATGTAACTACTCCTTAACAGTTAAGTGAGAGCTTGGTGCTGCCACCGGTTAGAAAGAAGGTGCTGGGCCAGATAAAGCAAGGTGGAGGGCTGGATTTGGCCCACGGGCCTGTTTTTGCCACTTGTGCTTTAGAGGGAATGTCCACTTGGTGAAAAAGTATAAAATCAAACATTGCCCTTCTTTCTTACTTACTCATTTTTGGACATATAAGACCATCATCTCTTGTCTCTTTTGGCAGTCTTCAAAATTTGTTTCTTTTTTAATGTCATTTTCTTTACATTTTGCATAGTTAATGGGTTTCTCCACAATTTCTGTGGACTGGTGTTCAAGGGACAATTTTAAACCTTGTTGTTTAACCGTATGTTGTTAAAGGTTTATTTTGGCTGTTTGCTGATTTCATCTGAAACTTCACCTTACTAAAAAAAGGTAAGTCAGAAAAGAAAAATATCATACAACTAAGACTGTTTATTTTAAATTTACTGCTATAATAGCAGGGTTATGTTCTCCCACAAGGATTGGAGTCAGAAAATGCACCACAGGTGAGTTTGAAAGATTGTTACTTTTTGTGACTTTACTGTGAAAAGTAATATATATAGCTGGATTTGACTGTGTATCTGCCAGTTAATCTCCATGCAGAATGAAATATTTTTTAGGAGATTAGTTTTAAAAAGTTATAATATGAAGCTACATATATAGGAATTGTTCAGGACTTGGACCAACAAAATATTTTTGTGTGAGGATTATTGCATCACTAACACTGCTAGCATTGTTGTGCAAGGTGATAAAAATCAGATGGACTTTTAGTTAGCTTAATAACTACTTTTAGGTTTTTTACAGATGTTTCACCTCCTTGTGCTTTTGCTTGCCTCAAGACAGACTGCTTCCTCCTTTTGACCCTTGGTGTCCTGTGGCTCTGAGTGTCCAGCTGAACTCCCAGAAAAGATACTCAGAAGGATCTGACAGTTCTGGGTGAATCAAGAATTGGAGTAACCCTGACAAAAGTCTAGTTTGAGCCTCTGAGGAGGTGTTGGTAGTGCCTGTAGTTCTGGCAGAGGTGAGGAAAGTGGTCCTAAGCAATGTTCTGGGAGGCATGTAAAGAAGAAAGATCCCAACCTGTAGAAAAATATTATACATAAAATATCATAGCTTCTGCTGAGAGAAAGGAGTTGAACTTGTCTATGCTACTGCAGAGAGAACCCCTGCGTGATGCTGTGCTATAATAAAAAATGTAAATTTGTTCATAAACCCTGGTGCCTGGCACAGAGTTCATAAAACCCTTGGAATATCCTCAATGATAGGGATAAAGGAGCATTTCGTTTGTTATTCATAAAAAGTCCATTTCAACCACACCTGAGTTTATGCTAATGAGGTACTCTGGGAGGATGGAGACTGGTTACCATAAGAATATAACCACATAATTAGAGCCATGAGGAGGTTGGAGCTCTCAGCACTTTCCTACCCCCACTTTAGTGGGAGAGGTTGGAGACTGACATAATCACCAATGACCAGTGATTTACTCAGTCTTGCTTTCATTAAAATGCTCAGCAGCAGGTTTTGGAGAGTTTCTAGGTTGATGAACACATTGAGATACTAGAAAGTTTAGTACGCTCAGAGAGGGCATGGAAGCTCTGCGGCCCCTCCTACATACCTTGCCCTATGCATTTCTTCCTTTTGGCTGTATTGAGTTCTATCTTTTACATAAACCAGAAACAGTAAGTAAAGCACTTGCCAGCCACTCTTGCAAATTGTCAAACTTGAGGAGAGGATCATGGGAACCCCCAATACTTAGCTAGTTCTTTAGAAGTGTAGCTTGGCTTCCGAAGTACGGGATTAAGCTCTATAGGGTAACACTAAATCCAGGTAGTTAGTGGTAGAATTGAATTTTAGGGCACCTAGTAGATGTCCACAGAGAACTGGTGAAGTACTTGGTATGGAAAAGCCACATATTTGGTGTCAGAAGTTGTAAGCAGAGAAATAAGCTCTTTGTTTTACCCTGAATGATGGCATTTTATTGTGCAGAAGCCTCCATGAAGCAGTGTCCTGGGAGCCAGTACAGGGACACCAGCAAGTGTTCAGTCAGGGATTTAGTTGTGATGGACCTCAAGCCAAGTTTTAGTTCTATTTCTGAAATCATGAAGGCCTAGAAGTATAGTGATGGCTCCTTCTTAAGACATTGTACGCACTCTCTCTCTGTCTGTCTATACACACACACACACACACACACACACATATATATATATATATATATAAATTACTCTCAGACCAGGGTCTTGAAACCTCTCTAGATCCAATGTTCTGGGAAGGACTAGACAGAGACAGAGCCTGTGTTTGGTATCAGATGGAGTTACAATCATTAGGATCAGTTAAAATCAGTTTTCCACAGTTGGAATCATTACTAGAATATTGACGATAACAATAAACTAAACACATTCCAAGTGGAAACAAGAAACCTTGTAAATGGTTGAATTTAGGAAAATACGTTCCTGACCTACATGCAACTAAAGTTGAGGAGGTCCAGGGCTGTAGAGGGGTGTGGAGTTTGGATAGAAACCATCATAACCTTCTATGATGAGATTTCTCTCTCAAAATGATGACTGGCTATTTCCAGCCTGGCTTATGTTCTTCCTGTGGTGTTCTTTTCCTTCTTTGCTTCATTTCCTATTCTTATTAATGAGATGAGCTGTCTGCTGCTGAGATTATAGGTCTTTCAAGGTCAGAGAAGGACTCTGACTCACGTATCCCATTTATTATCCCTCTCCATCACCTCCAACCTAGTGCTGTGCTTTTTGTGCTAAAGTCTTTCACTGAAGGTTTGTAAAAAAGTAATAAATTTGATTTGTTTTTAGTGTGTCCTTTGATGGTTTCACTTTTACTTACAACAATTGTTTATCTTCTCTCTAGGGAGGAAAAAAGCAAGGAAACAGACTTTCCTCTAGAGCCTCCAAAAGGAATACAGTCCTGAGAATAATTTGTGTTTTGTCCCACAAGACCCAATTTTGGACTTTACATCTCCTGAAGTGTAAGATAATTAACCTATTGTTTTAAACCACCAGCTCTGTGGTAATTTGGTATAGCAGAAATAGGAATCTAACAGTGGGTTTCACTTTGTACCTGTCAGAGTACATTGCACATAATATGTGCCCTGTGAATGTGTATTGAATGAATGGTCAATCTTCCAAAACATCTCATTCTTAATTATGATGAAGGGATTATAGAAATAAATAAGGATATTTCTGTGAGAATTCCAGACCAGTATCATGTGCTGTAACCAGGCAGATTTTCCAGACCAGGCAGTTTTCTTCCAATCTCTCTCCCTTTGATCTTCAAACCGCCTTAAACTTTCCAGGCAAAATTGTCTGGAGGTCAAGTGAAAAGATCACCATCTTTGTAGTCATCAGACAGCATGAAGTTTGGGATGAGGATGTAGATGAAGATGGCATGGTTAGGACTTCTCTTTAGTCCATGAGAGGCATTCATTTGTCAAGAGGGAGATTAAAATTCTTTATAAAGGAAATGTATGAGGAAAGAAGTCTGAGGTAATATTAATAACCTTTGTATAGAAGATGGATTTGGCCATGCTTCAAGGTGAGGACTCAGTCTCAGAAATTTAGCACATCATGGTCAGGTAGAACGTGGTCCTAGGATTTTCGTTTGCTGTGAACCCAGTGGGCTACCACAGGCCTACCACAGCAGAGTGAGTTCACTCAACTGTCAAGTAGTGTGGCAGGAAACTCAGGGGTTGTGCAGGCAGCAGAATCCTTGGTGTAGCATTAGCAACTCAGGAGCATTATCCCTTCCAAAATTTTAGACCTAAGTTAACTAGTCAATTCATCAGTGGCATCCTGCAGAATGGTGAGCACTCACCAAGGAGAGTGCTTGAGAGACCAGCAGGTGGCAGCCACCACAACAGGAAAACCTTTTTCAAGGCCAGAAGATTGCAGGAGCATGCTTTTCCCACCATGCTTTGGGAAGAGAGGCAGGGAAAGGAGAGGCTGTCTGAGTGATTGATTATGCCTTACTTTTTCTAATAGAGACGAAACACTTCCTAAAAGAATATTTAAGTTGTTAGATTGAATTAAGTTTAAATTAGACTGCGACTTAATTTTTTTTTCTCCTGCTAACCAGTGGATGGGATTTGGGAGGGATATTAGATTCTAGACTAAAATATATCATCTGAATTGCAGTGTGCTCTTCTGCAAAGTTGGATTTCTTCTTGGCTGAGCTTTTCAGAAGAAGAAAGAAAGCATCAGAGAGGTATTTACCTTTCTCTCTTCCTCTCTCTTTTCCCCATCCCTGTTTTCTTGTCTATCTTTGAGTTTGGAAAGTTGATAGGGAGTTTGAACTAGTATCTATAGCCTATTTGCTCCTGTGTGATTTTCCTTTCTCTCCTTTCAGGAGAATGCTCTCCAGACAGGAAGGTTTCTAATAAATACCCTCATTTAGCAAGACTTTACTGAAAATTCAGTGCATATCAGGCCCTGTGATAAATACAGTGTACATGAAGAAGAAAAAACTGGCCTTCACCTGCATACAGGGAACAGGGCAAATAGGCATTTAAATACATGGGTGTTATAAATAACCATTTGAAGAAAAAGGAGCAGAGAACAACTTGTATAATGACTCTTCGTGGGCCTGTGTATGTAAAACCATCAGTGACTCCCAATCAGTTATATTTTCTTTATCTTTTGCTGATAGTGCTTCCTTCAATTGCCATGCCACTTACCATATTTTGTTTTATCCTCTGTTCATTTATCCATACCAGTCTGTGTACAACTTTGGGACAAGATCTATGTCTAATTTACTTTGAAAAGCTCTGAGTCCTGGCAGATACACAGAACTGCAGAGTGTGAAAGTTTGTCACTCTCAGCCTATGCAAAGATGTATGTTCAAAGGTGTCAATTGCAATGCTGTTTATACAATAATAGTGAACATTTAGGAACCTGGATGCCAACCAGTAGAGATTTGTTTAAGTATAAACAGAGGGATATTATGTAGGCACTAAAATTATTAAAGTAGAACAATTTTGTTGATCTCAAAATATGTCCATACAAAATTTTGAGTGGAAAAGGAGATTATAGAATAGTATGTATACTATACCTTGACATATCTGAAGAATTATACACATTTAACTATGTATTCATATCCTGGAAGTATGGTCATTAAACTTCACAGAAGTTTATCTGATGGGTGGGGTTTTGTGTGTTTTTAATTTCCTTTTGAATGTTTTATCACATTAATTTTTTCCAATGAATAAATGTTATGAAAAACAAAGAAATTTAAAAATTTTTCTCAAAATCAAACAGTTTTTTTACATTATGCACAGGACAGTCTCCCACAAAAAAGAATAATCTGGCCTGAAGTGTCGACAGTGAAGGTGAAAAATTTATCAGATTTAACTTGATAAGGTTCTTTACCACCATCTGGTGGCAAGAAAAGGGCCTGCAACTTTCTTGTAGCTTCAGAGAGAATTCAGATGAGAAATAAGATGGGAGATCATAAGATGGATAATAGGAGGCAGGGGAAGAGCAAGGGGAACTTGTGGTTGAAAGGGTCTTGGAGTCTACAATATTATTAAGACTAATATTTGGTTGCTTGGCTACTATTCCGTATTTGTACACCCTGCATTAAGATGTCCAGTTTCCAGTTTCAGAGATGTAGAATAACTAGGTGCTGACTCAAGAAAGGCGTTCATCTGCGAGGACTAGGCTTTCTAATTTGACCCCACTCTTCTTACTGCCCCCACTCCTGAAGGCCATGCAGAAAAAAATCTATTCTTGCTCCGCTCATCAGTTTTACCTCTCTTTGTTTTACCCTCTAGGTTTCTGAAAACCCTCTAGGTTTTCACTTACTAGGGAGCTGCCCACCTGGCAGCTATGTCTCATGCTCCTCTTCACTGTCCTCAACTGGGCCGTGGGCCAGTGCTTACTTTCCTGCCTGCTGGCCACTTTGGGGATGCCTGCCTTCTCACACCTCTTGAAAGGATGTCTGTTTTCCAGCCAGTGTAAGAATCTTATGCAACCCTATTTTGTTTCTGTACTCTTTCTTTATTATCTACAATTCCATTATACAAATCCATTTAAATGTAGCAATCTTTGTCAAGACCATGTTCTATAAACCATCTTTCCAACTCCCTCTGAGTAATGGGTTTTGGCTGACTCCCTTGTCCTCTTGTTAGGGTAATTGCAGCCTCCTAGTTTCTAGTGGTTATGTGCTCGCACATGATTTCTATTACTTTAGAGCTCCATCATTCCCACAGATGTCAATGAGCAGAGAGCCACTGAACTTCTTAGTAAGGTTGATGCCCCTGTCATCGGCACATTCCTAACGCCTTGGTGAGTATTGTGTCCTTTAGGCTTTTTCATGAAATGTAACCCTTTTGTGGGTCTTACATAATCAAGCGCTTCCAACATGCCCATCTCCCTGTCACTTTATATGTTTTACTTTATTATCTTCCAAAAATCTCAGGTATTTCTATTCTGCTCAGTCATTATGGGCTTTTGATCTCTCTGAGCTTCTAAGGGCCTCCCTACTTTTGGTGAGTTTTCTTACTACAGTGAGCATATCTACTCCCCTGAGGTCCTTGACTATGTATTAAATCTCATAGCCTGAGAATGTGTCCCCAAGTCAATAAATTCTTGCATATCCAGTCTTATGTTCTAACTTTTAAAAAATTCTCACCTGAAAATATGTTTATTGATCTTAGAGAGGAAGGGAGGGAAGGAGGGAGAGAAAGAGAGTGAGAGGAATATCGATGTGAGAAACATCTATTGGTTGCTTCCCGCCTGTGCACAGCCTGGGGATTGAACTTGCTGCCTTTTTAATGTACAGGACAATGCTCAGACAATTGAGTCACCTGGCCATGGTGGTTGGAGCTTTCTTGATCAAGCACCATTAAAATCCAGTCTTAGGGATACTCCTTGGGCACCTGCTGATATATACTATCAGTTCTTGTGGCTCTTTTGGGATGAAATCTCTCAGTTATTTCATTATTATATGGTTGACACTATTACAGATGTCCCCATTTCCTCTCCGCCCCTCCCTACTTCCACCCAGCCCCACTCCTCCTTCCCTCTGGCCGTCACCACACTGTTGTCTGTGTCTGTGAGTTATGCATATGTGTTCTTTGGCTAATCCCTTCACCTTCTTTCACCTAGACTGTTCCCTTTTCTCTGACAGCCGTCAGTCTGTTCCATGTGTCCATGCTTCTGTTTCTGTTTTGTTCGTCAGTTTATTTTGTTCATTAGATTCCACACATAAATGAAGTCATATGGTATTTGTCTTTCTGGGACTGGCTTATTTCATTAGCATAATAATCTCCAGGTCCATCCATGCTGTCACAAAATGTAGCATTTACTTCCATCCTACGGCTGCATTGTATTCCGTTGTGTGAATGTACCAGATCTTTTTTGTCCACTCATCTACAATCAGCACTTGGGCTGTTTCTAGAACTTGGCTATTGTAAAGAATGCTGCTATGAACACAGGGGTGCATATATTCTTTCAAATTGGTGTTCTGGGATTCTTAGGATATATTCCCAGATGTGGAATTGCTGGGTCAAAAGGCAGTTCCATTTTTAAATTTTAAAGGCAACTCTATACTGTACTCCATAGTGGTCGCACCAGTTTGCATTCCCACCAATAGTGCATGAGGGTTTCCTTTTTCCCACATCCTCATCAGCACTTGTTTGCTGATTTACTGATGGTAGCCATTCTGGCAGGTGTGAGGTGATGTCTCATTGTTGTTTTCAGTTTTCATCTCTCTGATGATTAGTGATGTTGAGCATTTTTTTATATGTCCATTGGCCATCTGTATTTCCTCTTTGGAGAAATGTAAATTCAGGTCCTTTGCCCATCTTTAAATGGATTGTCAGTCTTCCTGGTGTTGAGTTGTGTAAGTTCTTTATTTATTTTTAGAGATGGGAATGGAGAGAGAAAGAGAGGTAGTGAAACATTAATGTGTGAGAGAAACATTGATCAGTTGCCTCTTGCACACCCCAGGCTAGGACCTGGCCCACAACCCAGGCGTACACCCTAAGTGGGAATGGAACTGGTGACCTTTTGGCATGAGGGATGAGCCATACCAGTCAGGGTGAGTTGTATAAGTTCATTATGACATTTGGAAATTAACCTGATATCAGATATATCATTGGCAAATGTGTTCTCCAGTACAGTAGGTTCCCTTTTCATTTTGTTGATGGTTTCTTTTTCTGTGCAGAAGCTTTTTAGTTTGACATAGTCCCACTTGTTAATTTTTTCCCTTTATTTCCCTTGCCCTAAGAAACATACTGGCAAAAATATTGCTATAGGAGATGTCTGAGATTTTACTGTTTTTTTTTCCTAGGATTTTTATGGTTTCATAGCTTACATTTAAGTCTTTTATTCATTTGAATTTATTCTTCTGTGTGGTGCAGTTGAGGGTCTAGTTTCGCTTTTTGCATGTACCTGTCCAATTTTCCCAGCATCATTTATTGAAAGGGCTGTATTTACTCCATTGTATGGTGTTACCTCCTTTGTGAAGTATTAACTAACCATATAGGTATGGATTGATGTCTGGGCTCTCTGATCTATTTGCCTGTTCTTATAACAGTACCAGTATGTTTTGATTACAATGGCTTTGTAGCATAGTTTGCTATCAGGTATTATGATTCCGCCAACTTTGTTCTTTCTCAAGGTAGCTGAGGTTATTCTAAGTCTTTTCCTGATTGCATATAAATTTTTGGAATATTTGCGTAGATATGTGAAATATGCCATTGGTATTTTAATAGAAATTGTGGTGAATCTATAGATTGCTTTGGGTAGTATGGACATTTTAATGATGTTAAGTCTTTCAATCCATGAAAACAGAACATGCTCTCACTTATTTGTATCTTTCTCAGCTTCTTTCTTCAATCCTATAATTTTCCATGTACAGGTCTTTTACTTCCTTGGTTAACTTTATTACTAGGTAGCTTATTTTTTTGCTAATAATCCCAATAGTAAATAGGATTTTTTTGTTGTTGTTTCTTTCTGACAGTTCATTGCTGGTATATAGCAATGCCACTGATTCCTGAATATTGATTTTGTATCCTGTTTCTTTGCTGAATTCATTTATTAGCTCTAGTAGTTTATTGGTGGAGTCTTCAGGGTTTTGTATGTACAATATCATGTCATCTGTAAATAATGACATTTTTACTCTCTTTTCCAATTTGGATGCCTTTTATATAATCTTGGCTGATTGTTGTGGCTAGGACTTCCAGTACTATATAGAATAAGAGT